CGCCCTTAGTGTCATACCTTTATTCGTGTGTGCGGTCGCTTTTGACTGCGTATTGTCAGGCACCTTAGCTTGCTCATCACTTTCGGATTCCACTTTGCGGATTGTGAAAACGAACGGAATGAAAATAAGATATCGGTCTTTATTGTTAACATGAAGATCAAGGTGGTTGACTCACATTCTCTTCGTTCCTGTATCAGGACCATGAGAGCTACTTTGTGCTGATCGAGATGGGGTAGCAATCGGAACTATTTAAAAACTGAACAACCAAATTCGGTCTAACTGTGGCCATATGGCGTAGAAGGCCTCTCATCCTATTCAGCTGTGATACCAGCGACTAGAGTGGACTGGCTATCATAATCAGATTGAATTGTACCATAGTTTCAATCATATGCTGATAGATACACTACCAGAATGCCCTGAAAGAAGGCTCGAGATTCGAGTGTTTCGAAACTAAAGCGAGTGTATAAGCGAAGCTGTCGTCACTGATAGGAAATTAGTGCGGACGACTACGTGAGAAAATATTCGTTGTGCAAATCGTCCAGTGATACCTGTGATCATGTACTTGCCCACGCGAAGTTCCGAGCCTACTATGATAGGCAGATCGGCTGCCTTTGTGAAGTCCGCCGCCAGCTCACTATAGATGTAGGTAGGGCAGTGTCGTGTATTAACATTTGAAGTAGAACTTATGATAAACACCCGAGCTGATGCACACTTCTGTTGAGAAAGTGGAAGTAAATCTTTCGTGATTGTGGTTGCGTTTAGAGTGTACTTTTACAGCATGGCGAATGGATGTGTACTAGTATATAGCTGGATCCTTGCACACAAGCAAGAGAGATACCAACTGACGACGAAGACTGTGCCGTGATGCAGAGGTATGGAGTGTATGGTTGATGAGCGAGTTGCGCACTATCTGCTAGCAGGATTTGTAGTCAGAATGTATTGTACACACAGTACACGGCGATATCTACAAGACTACTGACGTCTCTCTGCGGGTGAGGGCTGAATCGGTAGGCAACTCATATTTGTAGCTTACAATCCAATAGGCACAACCGATACTCTATAACGAGATATGTGTCCAATCGGCGTATATCACTAGTAACTGCAGCATACATACCCGCCTGTAACACGACCAATTAAAATGTGTGCACAATAATACAGAAATATAGCGTATGTACAGACGACAACTGAAATAACTCGTCCGTGTACATCCGTACGGGTTGACCATACAAGTGGCAGCCTTACTTTGACGACTCATCCAGCAGCGTGCACCGCTTGTTGACTGGATTGAAGGTAAGTAAGCCATCGTGCCAAGTCTTCTTCACCTTAGTGATCTGCGCCGTGTACATAACCTCGAACATGATGTCCAGCACTTCAAGGCAGGCAAGCTATGCACCCGCAAGGACTATTCTGGTGATGGAGCGCTACTTCGGCGAAGGTATACCCTTGAGAACATATATAAATGCAATTGCGTGTGGGTATATGCTATACTGTGTATATGTATGTTAATCATTAGACTACGATTGAACCGTGCAAGGTACTACACTGTGGATGATGGTTGTGTGAACGCATAATCAGTAGTGTATTACAATACCCTTGGGTGTGCAACGACACTGCGTCCGGTGTAAGAAGTACTTCACTACAACGCCTCACTATATAATCAGGGGAGACGTATGAACCCCGTGAATCAACACAAAAGGCGCTTATCGTGTGGTGAATATTTAATAAAAATAAACCAGCTGAGGCCTGAGCTGTGTCAGTGTGCCGGTGGCCCTGTCACCTGTGTGAGTGTCTGTTAGACTATATTAAAGTATAATCTAAATACATATTTTATATATACACACATACATGTAATGATGTATATATTAGATGAAATGGACAAACCCCGCCAAACGCGAAACTGAGATCATATTGGTTAAGCTTAAACCCCGCCAAAAATTGCACGTCTTCTGTTCAGAGCAAGTTATGGCACGCAGTCGGCACTCGGCAGTCAGCACTCAGCAGTGACGGAATGGCAGCCAGGCAGGGTGACTGGTGACCGGGGTTTCGCATCTCAATATTACTTTTGAAAATGATGCATATTAGTATATAAATAATAAATTAATACTCGTAGTCTCATAGCTGTGATCGATCAGTTGGCTATGATATACTGTAGTGACAGGTAATGGGATGTGAAAAGGGCCGCCTAAAGCAACGCGAGTGCCATGGAAGTGGCTGCCAAAGTGAGTATTATCACTCCAGTGTATCACGCCGTAGAGTACATCAAGGACGCACTAGATTCTGTAGTATCACAAACACACA